ATTTTTGTTTTGTTTTCCATACATGTTTGAAGAAAACTAAACTAAAAAAAAACTAAAATGTACAGCAGAATTAAACAATAAAAGCTTATTTGAGACCTCTATATCCCTTGTTTAACAAAATGAATCATTTGTTCATCCATTGATTATTTTCTGAGTGTTTTGATAAACATTCATACTGACAGTTCAATATTTGCCTCCCTTACAGAAAAACTGAGAAATGATGGTGACGTCATCTACTTCCTGTTGACTTCCTCTTTGAGCTTTCCTAATCTCATCAGAGGGTTTACACTGGTTGAAAAAAAAATAAAAAAACATATTTTTCAGTGTACGGATAATAAATTAAGTTAAAAACTGAAAAATTGTTCATTTTAAATGTTTACTTTTGAGTGACATCATAACTACTTCAAACCTATGATAAAACCTGAGGATGTAACAGATAATTTTATTAAATGATACTCCTCAGTGACAGGGGAAAAATAATAATAGTTTGACGCCTTATCTGAGATCCTTACCTGAGCTAGAAGCTTTGACTTGGGAGCTGCAGTCAGACAACAGCAGGTGGACGTTTCAGATTAGTGAGGAAAACGTTTTCAGTCCAGATCCAGGACAGGTCAGCACAGCCCCACGCTGAACCTCCAGTCTTAGAAAGCCAGATGCCACTGAGCAGGTTTGCCAAGCTTATTAGGAAACACAGGTCAGAGCGAAGTGACTGTCAGAAACTTGACTAGATGTTTGACTTTATTTGATCCAAACTAAACGTGAAGGACTATAACGGACCACTGACTGAAGAATAAACTAGAATGGAAGGAGCAGCGAAGGTATTTTGGGGATTTTAAAAATAATGATCTCAAAGATTTTTTAATGACACTAAAACTAAATAAAGAAAATACATTTGCTGCTCAATATTCAGTCTTTCCAGTCCAATTGTACTGTTGAGTTGTTATTAAAACTAAAGCATTTCAGTTCGTGGTATTTTACTTTAAAATAAAGCCAAAAACATAAGGAGCTGAAGGCAATGAAATCATTAAAATGTAGACAGTGAATGTAAATATTTTCCTCAGATTTTTTGTAAAATCCAGTTTAAGACAAAAATGTTTTCAGTAAAACTGAAATTTTTACATTTTAGATGCAATAACAAACTTGCTGATGATATACATGAAAGTTATATATTATACATTTGAAGTTAGTATTATGAGTATATACAAAATGTCTTAGGGGTATAAAAAGAATCATTAATCGTGTCTGAGGTAATTCCACAGATGAAAGTTTTAAGTAGCCACAAGTCAGTGACCATTTCATGAGCAAGCACCTGATTGGTTAGATAAAAATGGCTCTTAGCCTAGGCCCTAGGCTAAGAGTTGAGACTTGTTTTAGCTTCACAAAAAAAAAAAACCCTCTGAATATTCTCATCAAAAAGTAAAAATAAGTTGGACCTCTGGACGGGTTCTTCTTAAACAAAACAATTCGTCTCTCCTCCAAGAGACTTCTTCTCTCGGGTTTTTCTTCAATGTAGATTAATAAAAATACCAAAGTAGATCACTTTTATTTCCTTGTGTGAACTGGTATTATCAATTGTTGAAATCAAAGAAGAGAGTAGATGAAACCAAAAATCCTTCAAATATATTATTGATTTTATTCCCATCCATGTGTTTGCTGAAATATTCAGTCTTGTCGTATAAGCTCTGATCAGAAGTCAGAGGACGAGTTGTCAGAGCCCTGATCCATGTTCATACTTGCGAACGTTTCTGCAGAGCGAGCAGGACGAGAACATGATCGAGATGGCCGGGGACGACGTGGACGTGCCCGAGGAGCTGCTCAAGATGGTGGACGAGGACGCCACCGAGGAGGAGGGCAAGGACTCCCTCATGGGCCAAATTCAGAACTTGCAGAACATGGACATGGACCAGCTGAAGGAGAAGGCCTCGGCCACGGTCACCGAGCTGAAGAGCAAAGCAGAGGAGAAGTGCTCCGTCATGTGAAAGAGCCAAGGAGGGTGTGTGTGTGTGTGTGTGTGTGTGTGTGTGTGTGTGTGTGTGTGTGTGTGTGTGTGTGTGTGTGTGTGT